TCCTGAGTTCAATTCCCGGCAACCACATGGTGGCTCACAACCACCTTGAATGAGATCTGGTGCCCTCTACTGGCATGCAGGCAGAAGACAGTATACACAATAAATAAATAATTTTAAAAAACATAAAATGGAACAAATCTTGAAAATCATTAGTTCAATTCAAAAGATAGGTTGGGACAAAATAACAAGATGATGCAATTTCACTCACGTCAATTATCACATTAAATATAAATATAAATATCACATTCAATTTAAATATCACAATGAAAATGCAAGGTCCACCTGTGTGCTGCCTACAAGAAACGCACTTTGAACATAAACACTTGTAAAATTTCATGTAGCCCTAAGTGTCTTAGTTATGGTTTCTGTTATTGCACTAACAGAAATATCACCCACGACCAAAAGCAACTTGCAATAAAAGAGCGTATGCCCCTTTCAACTCTCTGCCCATGCTCCATCACGGAGGAACGTCAGGGCAGGGACCTAGAGGCAGAACTGAAGCAGAAGCCATGGAAGAGCCCTGCTAACTGTCTTGCTCCTCGTGGCTTGCTCAGAAGCCTGCCTTCTTACATCACTCAGGACCACCAGTCCAGAGATGGCACTGCTCACAGTGAGTGGACACTCCCACATGGATCATGGATCAAGAAAAAATGCTCCATGGGCCAATCTGGTAGGGGACATTCCCTCAAATGAGCTTCCCAAATGGTGGCGCTCTGCGTCAAGTTGGCATCAAGCCAGCCGGGACGGAAAGCTAGCTGAGCATAGGGCCGCCTGCCATCCAGTAACCAACGTCTTCTCTGGTTCTCGGTGCCCTCCTTTGCCCATGAGCTGAGTTCCTGCTCTGAGATAATGCTGTGTGGGACAGCAAGGAGGCCTGTCAGTCAACCCTGCCTAGAGTTTCTGCCTTGACTTTCCTCAGCGATGGCCCGTGACCTGCAATTACAAGCCGAATAAACCCCTTCCCCCTCAAAGTTGCTTTTGATCAGGATATTTGTCAGCGACCAGAAATGAAACCACAACACCAAGTGATAAGAAGACATGGTAGGGCTCTCCGTTTTTCAAATCAAACACCAAGAGAGAGAAACCATAAAGTACAGGAATTATCAACTTTGGTTTTTTTTTGTTTTTTTGTTTTTGTTTTTTTTTACAAGACAGGGTTTCTCTGTATTGTTTTGGAGGCTGTCGGTCCAGCCTGGCCTTGAACTCACAGAGATCCGCCTGCCTCTGCCTCCCGAGTGCTGGGATTAAAGGCGTGCGCCACCACCGCCTGGCAGGAATTATCAACTTTGAAAGATGTTAAGCCATCGCCGGTGTCACTCCAAGCAACAAGAAAGCATCCCCACACACTGTCGGAGTGCTGGTGTGTCAGGTGCATATGATGGGTATATGCCATCCAGAGTTTCGTAAAGAAAACAGCCCCATCCTGATGCCAAGGACTCCTGGCTCACAGAGACGCACTGTCCCAAGAAAGAGTCAGCAGTGGTTGGACTAAGAATGTCCCCCGTAGGCTGCAGTATTTGATTTCTTGGTCTCCAGTTGGGAGAAGTTTAGAAGGTGTGGCCTTGCAGGAAGTATGTCACTGAGTGTGGGCTTTAAGGGTTTAAACGTTTGCCTACTTCCAGTTTGCTCTCCCAGCTTCCTACTTCTGCTGCCATGTCTCCCTGGCACGATGGAACCATGAGCCCAAATAAACTCTTTCCATAAATTGCCTTGGCCACGGAGTTTTTACCACAGCAACAGAAAAGTAACTAATACAGGGTCCCAGCTACTTAAGCACGCCACATTGAAGTTAAACTGCTCTTAAACTGAATCCATTAAAACAATGAAATTTTAAATGTATAATTTTCTTCTGCACCTCAAAGCCCACAAAGCTGTCATTGTGGAAACAAGTGGCTGTCCTGGAAATTGTAAATTCAAGTGCCCCATGTGGCACTAAAGGTCGGCGGCCTGCAGACGCCTCTGCATTTCCTGATTCCTAAGCAGTCTCTAGCTGCAAGCCTGGAGTTCTGACCCCCTAACTCCATAATAGCCTTAGCCTACTTTACACGGTTCAATCTGTTTTCCTTCCTGCTTACTGATTGCCAAGTGCAAAAGAAAAAGCCAATTTGCACGGTGACTCTCCAACTCTCAGTTTTACAGTTATAAAGAGATGTCCTTTGGGCCTATGTCTTAATGCTGTGCCTCTGATCTGCATAGCCTTGTCCAGCCTGCCCAGCATCCCAAACTTCAGATAAAGCTCCTTGGACTCCTCCTCAGCTTCTGGTCTGCATCAGGGGCAACACAAGAGTGCAGATGTGGTCGGAGCCAGTGAAAGGAAGCTGAGCACAGACAGGCTGGCCCTTCCCCCAAACCCTGTACCACACCCAAGCACTCTCCTCTCAATTTGCTTAAGAAGAGAAGGGAAGCCACACTCTCAGCCACTAGTCACCACCGACTGAGTCTATTAACATATGAGAACTCAAGTAGTTCAGGAGGAGAAAACTTCTGGAAGGTGGCTTCATTAGAGTCATCAACCTCCCAGTCAGAGTTGCCTGGTCCAGGGTCCCAGGTGGATGGACTATCTTCATACCACAAGCATTCAGAGGCCAAGTAGTGACGTTCCAGCAGAATAAACCCTCAAAGAGCACCCCAATGTTCTCAATGAATGCCATCTTAGACACAGGTCCTTCCAAGCCCTGGATGGATGCTCCTCTTTGGCCAGCAACGCCAAGCACCCAGAATGAACACAGCAACCCCCCCTTATCTTGGCTGCGCTGTGATCAGTGGGACAAAATAGTGAGTTCATGTATCTGTGCCTTCCTCAGCCCTGAGGCCGGCGACGCGAGCTCTCATGTTATGGCCGCTTTGAAGAGAGCACATCCTAGTAGACCAGAGCCAGGGTTGTCCCCAGAGGACATGGTCAGGAGCCAGGGAACTTCCCGCGAACTTAACACACAATGCCAGGAACGGAGAGTCTGGTGAACACAACCACCCCAGAGCCTTCTCCTCCAGTCTTCTGGCAAGGATGATTGTGCTTCTTCCTGTGGGAAGGTGACTGGTTCTACAAAGGCGGCTGTAGGAAGCTGCTCTCCCTCCATTCGTCATTTGGATGCTGTGCTGGTAAACGAGAAGCTGTGACAAAGGGGACAAGCATGCTACGGGTCCAAGAGATGTCAGCATTTGGGAATTTTACCCATGTGTGTACCCACTCTACCAGAGCTCTGCAGCCTTGTCTGTCCCACGCAGGCCATTATCCTGTGCTCCACAGGGAAAGCTGATATCCCACAAGGTTGACTACAGGGACTGGGTCTTTATTAAAGTGGCTAGTCTAGAACATTTCACAAGTCCAAACACAAGAAGAGGCAATCAGAAAACTCAGAATGAGCACCAGACTGGCAGAGGCCGAGGAGGCCAGGCCATGCATGACTGCTCGTTGGCTGATGCATGGTACCCAGAAGTTGTCCCAAACTCATATCCTCTATCGTTCCTGCACAAGGTCTTCTGCCATACCACCAGTTTGGAACAACTCCCCGGCTCTGGAGTGGCCTGGAATGCCTGGTGGATGTTAAGTTTTCAGGATCAATTACCATGACCCCAGTAGAGGAGACTTCGTGGGGGGGGGGGACAGAAAAGGAGATGAGAGAGGCGAGGCCCAGTGCCTATGGGGCCCAGTGCCGGCTTTTAAAGGCTACCTCCCCGAGAAGGTCAGGGTGAAGAGGTGTGGAGGAAGGGGCTGCTGGTACAGAGTGCTTCATTCAGTACACCATGCAAAAACCAGGTGGGCATTTCTACCAGCCTCCCAAGCCACACTGAGACAGACACTTCCTAAGGAGGCTCTAGGCACTGAGCACAGAGAGGTGTGCAGGGTACCACCGATGCCTTCCACCTTCAACTCTCAGGGGCCAGAAAGCAGAGCCAACAACAGCCTGTAGCATAAGGTGGTGGCCTAGAGACCATTTTGAAGCCCCCTCCCCCGAATCTGACATTCTCCCTGGCCAAAACACACCTCTGGAAAAAGCAGGGAAGGAAAGAACCCAATTCAGTTTTTTGAGAAGATGAAAGGAGTCGGGCCTTTGGGCAGCAAGCAGTGGACAATGGTATGATCCCACTGACTTTGGAGGTGGGGTTCTGTGAGTTCATATCTTTTACGTCCAATTTCTATATAACCGCTGTTCTTATGTTCGTTCCTCAGTACTAGGGCTATAATTCTAGGCCTCACATGCTAAGGCAAGCTCTCTATCACTGAGCTACACCTTTGCCTCCAATGGAGAAAAATATAGACATATCAGCATTTACATGAGAACAGGCAGTGGGCGGAAAGCTGAAAGAAAGCAATGTTTTTGTGTGCGACTATCCCATCAGGCCACTCACCCATGAACCCAGACACAGAACGGGGCTAACTTAGCATATGTTCTCTCAAGTACTTGTCTAGGAGAATCAGTGGTACCTTGTTATATAATCTTTCAGGAAACTCCAGATATCTAATCTATAAAAGTGCAACGTTTGAATTTCTGCAAACATACCTTCTGGGGAAATCTGCCAAACACTGTGTCTAGTGTTTCCTTGGACACCTTACACACCCTCTGCTACATTTAAATTGTTTTAATTTTTTAAAAGTTTATTCCTTTAAGGGCGGGGCCATGTGGCATGCACAACTTGCAAGAGTCAGTTCTCTCTCTACATCATGTGGGTCAGGCTGTCAAAGTTTGGCTGCAAGGGTTTTTAACCACTGAGCTAAGTTTCTGTGTAGCATGGTCGTATGCAAAGCAGGGTGGAGGAGGGCTCCAATTCTGTTCTACCGCTCACTTTAAAACACTGTTGCAAAAAGCAATTAAGATTTGGGAACACACCGTCTTGAGAATCTGACTTTGCCCAGATGTGAAAAACGGCTTCAGGGTCCAAGTTTTGGCCATTGACTCACTACAAAAATTCTCTGCATTTGGAGACATTCCACCCTGGCCCGTTTTAAAAGTCGATTCCTTTACAGCACGGTGTCTGTCCTCTCAGATAGGGCCTTGGCTGACCATCCACACCCTCTGGAATGGAGGCCTTATTTAGCTCTTCAGAGGACTCGGCTAGGCGCTCCCACCCCAGCCTGGCCCTGCTGCCTGCAGTCTCCACCAGAGGAAGCAGGACACCCATGCACTGTTAGAAGTGAGAACACTGGCCGCCCACTCCTTGAATAGTTCCCTCAGATTTTTATAACTTTCACAGGCTCTGTGGAGATGCCAAAGTCCTCCAGCCCAGCCACAAAAAGTGAAAACTCTTCTTGGAATGCAGAAGTGCAGCTGCAGGACCCTGAATTACAGTTGGCCCCTGAAGTGCATGCCTGCGTTCGCAGAACCAAATCTCAGAGCACACAGAGGTCTGCAGCCAACTCTGGCCTCTCCCCCAGGACTGGGATTTCTTCTGATCTGGGGGCCTGTGAGAAGCAGAAGGGCACAGTTACAGGTGAGAGTCAAGTGTCCGGGAAGTGGGGGACCTCTGGGAAACGGACCAGTTAGGAGTGGAAACAGCAAGAGGAAGTCCCCCGGACTGCCCAGAACTTGTTCACCTGCACAATGATGGGCCCTCCATGGCACCTTGGAGGTCAGGCTCCCTCCGGGCAAAGAAAAAGTGCTGTGCCCCGACAGGGTCCCCAGGACACCCAACTAACTTGAAGGCTCTGGCTCAGAAGCTGATGGGAGTATATACTTGGCACCGCGGGACACAGAATCTACAAGAGAGGTTTCCTTGGCACAGGGTGGTGTGGGGTGGGCCTCGCTCCAGAAGGCGGGGAAGGGGGGGCAGGTAGACCGATGGAGGAAGAGGTTGGAGGAGGGGCGAACCACCCCCAGGTGGGCGATTCAGAAGACAGAGGGAGGTAGAAAGGAAGGGAGGAGACTCAGGGAAGGGGAAGAGAAGGAGAGAGGGAGAGGAGAGGGGGAGAGAGGGAAAGGAAAGGGGGAGAAAAGCCGAGAGGTAAGAGGGAAAGGGGGAGGGAAGGAGGGAGAGCGGATTGAGTGAAAGTTGAGAAGACACCGGAGGGGAGGCCAGTCTGGGAGGGCGCAGGAGACGCACGGGGCTTTCCCCGGCGACTCCCTACCACTTCCCGGTCCAGCGGGAGATTCTGAGTTTGAACAAAGGCAGCTCCTAAGGCCGCGCGCTCTGCACTCAGGTCCGCCCCTGGCGTCCCAGGCAGGACGGACAAAGGCCCAGCACTCCCTGCACCGGACGCCGAGATTCCCCACTTTGCCAAACTAATGTCCCTGTCCCCCAGGCTACTCACGACCCTCGATCCCCCTGAATCACACGTCCCGCGGACCCCAGCGCCCCTGAGACGCACTCACAGGATGGAGGTCTGCGGCGACACGGCGGGTACGGCCTCCAGCAACAGATGCATGCAGCGCACGGTGGTACGGAAGCACAGGCAGCGGCTTGGACAGCCTGCCCCTGGCTTCGAGGCGACCACCGCCATAGCCCCCAAGGTGAAGCAGAGCACGAGCGCCTGTAGGCAGCGGCGCATAGGGCACGCGGCCATGGTAGATGGCGCGGACAGACGCTGGGGACGCGTGGACCGCCGCGGAGGCCTCGGCGGGCGCGTCCACCGCCGGCTCCCAACTGAGTCCTCAGGTCCCGGGCCCACGTCCCAGCTGTGCGCGGGGGCCGGGGGGGGCGCCAGCTGTGCACATGCGCGTGACTCCTCCCCTCTGGCCTCACCGAAGGCGGGGGCTGGGCAAGCACCAGGGCCTTGGTGTTGTAGGATCCCCGCGACCCTTCCCGAGAGTGCAGCTGGGCCTCCCTGGACAGCACGACCAGAGCGCACAGACTCCACAGTGGGGGTCGCCTGGAAATGCAGAGGTGAGGGCTGGAACCGGGTTTGGATCTCTGAGTCTTCTTTTAAACCTGCCGTGCGGCAACTAAGACACCCCACATCCCAAACCACACTTATGGCCGTATGCAAGGCTTTTGTTGCTGGTGATGCCTTGTTTTGAACGCTTAAAGGTGTTGGGTGTTCTAGGATGTGAGCTTTCACACTTTTTCTCAGTGCCCCACCCCTGCTCCCACACAAAAGCATCTACCTCTGATTTAAGTTTTCCTCATTCCTAGTGGAGAAACCGAGGGCCAGCCCCGTGGCGCACAGCTTGTAGCTAGGCTGTGCTGCAGAATTGGAAGTTCCCTGAGGGAGGCCTCCAACACTGGCTACCTGTGAGGAGTCCCTGCCCACCTGGTGCTTTCCCTGGTAGGAAAGACTGAGAACACCTGTGGCCACCTCAGCTTGCCTTTACACAGGCTGCATAAAACAAGGGAAGTGCTGAGGTTAACATGAGGGAGTGCTACACGAGATCAAATGCCTTATACTCTTCTCCGATTCTCCCTGGGGTTCCAGTCTCTCCAATTCTTCAGGCCGGGAGGTCCAGGGTAGACAACACAGCCATAGGAACGGAGTTCATGGACTTCAGAGTTGGAAGTTGAGCTTGATTTCCAACTTGACTGAACTGACCCCCTTAAGAGACCACTGTAAAATTCCATCTAAGGGAAATATCAGAAGAGTTACCTAAAAAGAGAAGACCCATTAGGAACTAGAGTGATACACATGGGCTGGCAGTGTAATAGCACAGATGTGAAGAGGCCCATCTACCCAAGTGTTCTCTCTGTGATTTCTGGCTACTTGAAGGGAGCTGCCCAGCTCTGCCTGGTCCTTCTGGACAGACTGACATCTCTGAAACTGAGCCAACACCGCTCTTTCTCCCTTAAGTTGTTTTGCCTCCGTGTTTTGTCACTTTGATGGAAAACCGACACACCAGACATGCCTTGACCTGCAGCAAACTACTCTGTTTCCACTGTTCCCAGGCAGATAGTCTCTCTGATGGGAGGAGTGTTTCTGGGAGTCCAGCATCAGGGTGCTGCTGAGGGACGGAGTCACACTCAGGAGCCGTCACAAGGCTCCAGCTGCACTGCTGGCAGACTTTACCACCAAGGAACTGAAGGCCCGTTGGAGGAGGCTCGAGTTCCTAATCACTGGGCCCTCTCCATGGCTGGCACATCTCCAACCATCTGCAGACTGTATTCCAGGGGGAGAACAGGATTAAGGCCTTCCTGCTAAGCCTGAGCATGCCATCACTTTCCATGCTCTCTTGAGTAGCTCAGGAGAGTGAGAATAACTGAACCACAAAGCCTCCAGAGAGGCTGCCCACCCCGGGAGACCTTCACTCTGCCCTGAGCTCCTACAGAGCTAGAGTTAAGTTTCCATGAGAGCAGAATTTCCAGGTAAGTATTGTAGTGGGGATGAAGACAGGACAGTCTAGCCTGTGTACTCTGATAGAGACCAGATTTATCTCCTGTAGTTAGCACAGGTTAAGAGCCTGATAGACCGACCCCAGCAGAGACAGCCTTGCCTTCAACAGCAACTGCAAGTGCAGGGTCCTTCAGCCTCTCAAGTCTCACCTGCTTGTTAAAAACTTAGTCAGGTGTATGACACCAGAAACCGAAAACATCTTTCTCCCACAAAATTGCATTTTCCCATTTAACGTGCATTCTCCTCTCCCACCCCATGATTTTCCTATAGACAACAACCTGGAAATTGTCCTCTCTGCAGGCAGTCCTCACCTCAGATCTGAGTTCTTACCAGGCATATCGGTCCGTCTTTTTTTTCCCCAGCATCACTCAAAGGCAGCGGCCTCACTCCTCACATCCTAAACACTCCCAGGCTGTAGCACCCACAGCAGCAGCCACTTCTCCAGGTGTCAAGGAGCTGGTGCTCTCTGTTTTCAGTACAGCTGCCTTTTCTTAAGCCATCTGTGATATCTGGTCTTATGTATCCATTTGAATGGATAAAAACATGCCATGACTGTTTAAGAACAGCTATTCCCCTGGAGGTGCTCTCTTAGATGTGGTTAAAATTGACCAGTGGACTTTGATAAGGGAGATCTCATTAATGTGTGTAAAAGCCTGGTATAGTGGCAGAGATCTGTAACATTGGCATGTGGGCTTTGGTTGGAGTGGAGGGAGACAGGCAGCTCTCTGGAATTTGCTGGCCAGTTAGTCTAGCCAGTCTAATTTTGTTAGAAAAAATTAACATGGAGAATGATAGAGAAAGACATCAACATCTAGCCTCCACACGCATACACAGGTACAAGAAACACACTCAAACATGTAGTGCACACACAGAGACACACACACACACACACACACACACACAGAGAGAGAGGAACTTCTGCTGAGCAATCACTCTGCCTCGGGTTTTCAGGTTCTCACTTTTCCATAGAGGCTGCACTAACCATTTTCTTAAAACAGTTCTGCCCATCCATCCATCCATCCATCCATCCATCCATCCATCCATCTGACCATCCACCTAGTGGCACCTTGCCTTCTTTGTAGTCTTTCATCATCCCTTTCTATCCACTTCCTCACCCACAATCCATCCATTTACCTCCTTACCCATCCACACATTCTTATCCAATCCACCCACCCATTTTCCCTTCCATTCATTGCTGACCCCTCTATACCTCTCATCCTCCCGTCTACCTATCCACCCACCCACCCACCCACCCACCCGCCCACTCATCCACCCACCCACCCGTCCACTCATCCATCCATCCATCCATCCATCCATCCATCCATCCATCCATCCATCCCCCTGTTGTTTCTGTGTCTCAGAGAATGCCTGATAGGCATAGCAGCCATCTGCACCACTCTAAACAATGAAGTACAGTGGGAACTAGGAGCCAGGACCATGACTAAGGACTGAAAGAATGTGTGTTTTCCGGATGAAGTTCTTACACTGAGCCAAATATCCTTCCCATGCTGTTTGCTCATCAGCCCTGTCACGTGCCCTCTAGAGGCTCCTGGAAGACTCACACCTCCATACTGACCTCTGGGTGACTTTTCTGACTCTTGTAAGTAAGTACTTTCCAAGTCCTTCCACCTGCTCTGTTTATTGTTCTACGGCAAACATTTCTTTCGGGTGCTAACTGCACTCATGCAAAGAGAAATACTTGGTGATGGTACTGAATGAGACAGTGTGGATGGTGGCTGTCCCACCACCTGCTCCCCTCCTAGCTATTTCTGGCTCATGACATCCATTTATCTTATGATCCCCCAACTATACAGGTGTTTCCATTTTGGAGCCTCATGACAACTTCTGAGGCCAACGTTGTCGTCAGAGAGGTTGGGTCAAAGTCTGAGCCCTGGCAACCCCAACAGGAGAGGCTCAGCCACGGGTCCTCAATATGCCAATTGAATAGATGAGACTTTATTAAATGTGCCACATTGGGAAAAGGGGGCGGGGGAAGTGGGTCCAGTTATCCCACCCACCCACCCACACAAGTCCATCTTCAGGGTCCTGATGAGAGGTTTAGGCTTAAATAGAGGGTCAGAGGTAATGTAACTAAGAGATCCTAGTCAAAGTGTGGCCCGCCGTGCCCCGCCCCCATCCCTGATCCATCCTTGTCTCAGCTCTGGTTTCTCTTGCAAATTGACAAGTTGTCAGAGCTGTGTGAGATTTCCTACCTGGAGATGAGCCTCCCTCCCCACCCCCCTTTCGCTGGCTGGCAATGGGGCTTCAGCTTTTCTCTCCCTCAGCATGAGATTCCTGGGAAATTCCAAGTCCTGGGGATCATTGTTTTAATAGTCTCCTGTGCCAACCATCTTTGGATTACTATGCTGCACATTCGTTCCCTTTTGTGGACTAATGCTTAGAGCACCCCGGTCCCTACTGCACTGCTCTAGTCTCTCCCCTTACTCCCCCCGCTGGAGATGCAGACGGCACCTCCAGTTTCTAACTTCAGTCTGGCACCACAATCCTTTGTTTTGCTCCACCAACCAAGCTAAGTCTTGGCTCGCAGGGAAGCAGCCTTATTGCCATAGCTTCCAGTGCTGTGACCCCCTCACCCTTCTTATGTCTGGGCTTCAGTTTCTCACTTGGTAAAGCAAGGTCAGCTGCTACCCACACTCAGTGAGGACCGGGTGAGCAAATGTCAATCTATTTTATCCTGGCTCATTGTGGACTGTGTGAGTAAGGCAGTGAGCCATGAATATGTTCTCCCTGAGAGCTTTATTCCCTGGTGTGGGGATACTTGAGAATCTTCTGTAAGTCAGCCCCACCCTACCTGCTGCCCTGACTCCCAGGCTAAGTTAACCACCACACAGACATACAGCTTACTGGGAAAGCAGGGGTCACCTTAGGTTCCCACGACTGAGAAGCTGGGAGCTTAACTCTCAGCCTCCAAGGAACTACAGACAAAGCAATTCAAACATCTGAAATGTTCCTTCCTATAGTCCTGAGCCAGAAAAAGGCTGGTTCTCTCTGGAGACTCCCCCAGGTAAGTTCTACCTTATTATCCCACTCCTGGGATCCTGTGTCTGAACCTGGTCACACATGCTCCTTGGTAAGGACAGTGTTCAGGCTGCACTCCAGACCCAGCAGGAAGTGAGGTACAACAGGGAATCTGGACTAGGAAAGTTCCACAGAGTCTCCATTGTCAGCAGAGGCAGGAAGTACTTAAGTCCTCCACTCTATAACCCTAACCCAGGGGTCATGTTTGACCTGATCGTGGCCAGACTTACCAATGATGGAGCCCAACAGGGGTGTACCCATCAAATGAATGTTCTACTACTGCCCAATCCTGGCTCCAGGAAACAGGGAAGGGGAGGGGACACTGGATGGCATTCAACAGCATCATGCTAGTCCCAAATACAGGATGGGTAAGGCAGGAAAGAAATTGGAACCAGATTGGAAAGACTGCAGTCAGCTAAGACCCTTTCAGCTTCCTCGGACGTGAGCTATCAGCTAGCTCTGACGCCATGGTCTCAGCCCCTGAGAAACAGCACAGTCCTAAAGATAAGCAGACTCAGCTGGCTGTTGGTCTTAGTGTGTGCCTATCTTCCCAGATATCCAGAAGGCTAAAGCAGAACCCCTTGACACTAGGAGTTTGAGGCTAGCTAGACAGTACAGTAGGGCCTGGTTTTCAAAAGAAACCAAGCACCACTTGAGTGCAAGGTCACTACCAGCAAGTGGGTGGACTCAGCCCATGTGCTGGCTCAGGCCCCTTTGCAGTCACAACAAGAAGCCTGTGAGTGAGCACCAGTATTGGGGTCAACACATGCCTAGCTGTAGGCTATGACTTTGAAAAGCATCATCCAAGCATGCAGAGACATCAGGAAAAGCCTAGGGGCCTCAGTATTGAGTTTGCAGCTTTCTGTGAATGTGTTGTTATTCCAAAATAAAGGTTATTGGAGCCTTAGAAATAGTAAATTAAGGAGCATTGTCTCAACCTTAACTTTAAACTGTAAACAGGAACTTTTTATGTAGGTGAGAACCACACAGAGTGGACAAAGTGGTCCCTGGGACAATGAAAATGGTATAAAATGGATTGGAGGCAGGATAGAAAGAGGAAAAATTACGGAGACATTGGGAGAGAGAGAGGCCTTTCGCCCTGGAGTCTAGCTGAGACTCAAGAATTACAATACAACTGATAACATTTTCTGTGACGGTTGCCTACATAGAGACACTATTTCATACAGAGCTATTTAAAATAATGTCAAAACAGCTGTGGACAGTACTTATGGGGTTAGTATGTAAGTTCTTTTCTGGTTGTAAACCTGAAATTTCCTAGGAATCACACCAGAAATCCTACTTGCAGTAAAAAGATATGGCCTAATTCCCTGGGCAGCCCACAGCTGTTGATTTTATCCTATCAGGTTGTAATTGCATCCAAGGAACCAACAGAGCCATCCTATAATGTCATTTACTAAAAAGGAAAAAAACATCTTAGCAACCTGTCAAGATGTAACTTGAGGTCAGGTGGTGGTGGCCCACGCCATTAATCCCAGCACTTGGGAGGCAGAGGCAAGCTAATGTCTATGAATCCAAGGCCAGGCTGGTCTACAGAGTGAGTTCCAGGACAGCCAGGGCTATTACACAGAGAAAGTCTGTCTGTAACTTGAAAGCCCCCAAATGGTGTTATAGGTCAGATCTGAGTTTGCAGGCCATCCATCCATCCACTGCAGGCTTTATGTCTCTGAACAATGACTTAGATAGAGACATGTGGATACTAACAGAAAGGAAACTAATTAATCAAAAGACAGAAGCATTTCCAAGCTTGAAAATGGGCCAGAACTGATGAAGCTTTGTACCTGAGTACAAAGGGAACTCCTCAGACTGCTAACGCTGGGGGCTGTCTCCTGCTATACTACCACAGACGAGTTCACAAGGTAAACTGAGGCCTGGAGAAACCTTGAAAAGCCCACATCTCTAGATTAATTATTTTCACAAAATGAAAAAGGACCTTGAGCAGATTGCTGAGCCAGCAGAGAGTGCTGTCATAACAGTGAGAGACAAGCTGGCGTGCCCTACTTTCCATTCCCAGACAGGCCGACTCTCCAGCCAAAGTACTCAGGGTGTCACTAATGAACCTGTGATCTGCTGTCTGGGGAATTACTCTAGAAGAGAGCAGCAGCCACCGCTCCCTGCTGTAGCAAAACCCTCTTTGACTTGGGAGTGCCACGGAGGCCCCTGGAGGCATGTTTTTAACTCATCTGGAGCTTCTGCCAATGGGTCCCAAGCTACCTGGCAGCTTTTACCTCCCAGCTCACACCAAGCAGCCGAGGAATGCCAAGCACACCACCTAAGCGGAGGCTTCAGCTCAGCTGCTGGTGCCTCTCCCAGCCAGAGAGCGAATGAGGTTGTCTTATGGGAAAATTCTGGGACGCTTCTTTGTAAATCAACACAAATTCAGAGAGTGTTCTTGATGGTCCCACAGCACATAGCAACTTGGAATTTTTGAGCACTGGGCCCCAAAGCTCTACTCGGCTAGGAATAAAACCCAAGCTTCCTGCCCTGTGGCTACCAAATGTCGTCGCACAGTGGGTAAAAAATGAGGATTTCCCAAGTCTAGAACCAAAGACAGCTCCTATATGACTAGCCTCCTAGCTTTGGACAGACTGACTATTAGAACTTCAGAATCGTTTCAGTTCCCATAAAGGAAGAGTTTGCTTTGAGACTGATAGGAAAGTGAGAACCAACTAGCAGATGTTTTGTTTAGAAATACAGGGAGAGTGAGCCCCTATATCAGTCTGCAGTTTTCTAAGATACCCACTGTCTTCATCAATAATAATACAAGGGATATAGACCCTTTGGGCAAGATTTTATTTTCCTTCTCTTCCCTTCCTTTCTTCCTTCCTTCCTTCTTTCCTCCTTCCTTCCTTCCATCCTCTTTCACTCCCTTCCCTTTCCTTTCTATAGTCTTTGACAAGTCTCTAGGGCTTTCTGTAAATCAACAGTTTCAGACTCTTTAAACACGGTATTCAAGCTGGGTGTGTTAGCACACACCTTTAATCCTAGCACTCAGGAAGTAGAGGGAGGAAGGTCTCTGAGTTCAAGGCCAGCCTGGTCTACATAGCAGCTGCAGGACAGTCAGGACTACACAGAGAAACCCTGTCTCAAACAAACACCAGAAAAGATCCACAAAGCTTTTAGTGCTCTGGACCTAAACCCAAACTGTTTATAAAGCAAAACAACAAACAAAACACATGGGACTTGTGCTAGGGTTATATCTGTTAGGAAAGTTTTTTTCTAGTGTCCTAATTTAAATTTTTTTGTAGTTTTAGGTACAATGGGCTTCCGCTGGTATCAGTCAGTGATGGAGGGAGGCTGAGGACCAGCTGGGTCAAGCCATTAGTTACCAAGTGGAGGAGGAGCTTTTTAGTCAAATGACCTGCACTTCTTGCCCAAGGGTCCTGATGCAGCATGTTTGTCCCCTTCAGAGTTGACACACCATGAGTAGGTGTTGCACAGCTCCTCCTTTTCCTACAGATGGAAGGGTCAGAGACATCATTCCCCTCCATGGGCTCAGGCTGATAAGGTGAGAATCTCAGTGATTGCCTTCAGCATTCTAGGGACACTGCTTTCTTAGTAGAATGAAGATGGGCAGTGTCCAGCTGCCCAAGTCTGGGATAGTTTCTATGCCTGATGCAGTCATATGAAGCCAGAGACTAATGAACTGTAAAGAACTATTTTAAATTTATTTCAAACTACTCTATCTATATCTATCTATCTATCTATCTATCTATCTATCTATCTATCTATCTATCTATCTATCTATCTATCCATCTCTATCTATCTATCTATCTATCTATCTATCTATCTATCTATCTATCCATCCATCTATCTATCGTCTATCTATCATGTATCTACACCACATACATACACACACACACACACACACACCAAGCTTCTTTCCCTCTCTTCATCAGCAGCCAGCCCCAAGACACCTCTGACTTCTACCTCCAACTTCCTTCATAGGACTTGGTGCCACCCACTTCTGGGTTCAAGCCACACAATCCACTGCCAGAACCAAGGTGTTTCTCCGCATCTTTGTCTCGGTGCAGTGTTGTGTGTTGGCTTGGCTGTGTGCCCAGAGGGCAGGTCTGTGTACCTCTTTCCACGGTTGCGCCCCACTAGCAGTGTGTCCACCCCCACCCCCACCCCCACCCCCCACCCCCCCCCCCCCGGTCTATAGCCTCCACCATTGCCCTAACGCAGGCTCCACTCTGACTAGCTGTCCACAATGCCCAGCTCCTTGCTCCCGTCCCTGCATCCTCTGCAGAGTATTTCTCAAACATATACAGTGGTAAACGGTGATACTTCCCCGATGTGCTGGTCAAAGTCATTTCCTCTCTGGAGAATGAGAGTCCTTGGGTTTGGGCTAGATGAGAAACTGGTGTTAAGCCATCTCTTGCTCTCCCTCTTACCCACAGGACAATCACTGTCTCCCCTTTCCCAAAGCCAGACAAGACTCACTGCAGCTCAGCGTCCCCGCCAGCCTGCCTGCTCTCACTGCCTGCCTTCCAGCTTTGTTCCTATCTAGCACCCTCTGCAGGCGGCCTTCAATTAGGAACAGCTACTAAGCTTCCTTAGGGGAGGCAGCAGCTCCCTCTGTCCCCTGGAGCAGCCCGAGGACTTCTTTCCACTCAAGGACAACCAGATTTGTTTTTTCTTTTTCATTTTTATGGTTTTTTTTGTTTTTACTTTTTTCTCTTTAGGAAGAGCCAGTGTGACTTGACATAGAATCAGGATTTATTAGGAAGATATTTTAACATATATGTAGCATAGGCATTAACAGAAAGAGTGGTCCTTAGGGAGAAGATGAGGCACATCCAAGTACGGTTATGGGTTTCTTAAGAAAATAACACTCGGGAGTCTTAGTAGTAGCCATAAGTGTGGTTTTGGTGTGTTCTACAGTTACACTGTGGGCTTTAAGATCCCAACTAACTTTCCCTTCCCTCTCCTTCTCCCTCTCTCTCCCCTCCCTTTCTGTCCCTCCCCTTTTCCATCCCTCCACCCAATCTCTAGATCAAGCTGGTCTTGAACTCACTATATACCTAACAAACGACCTTTAACTTATGAACTTCTTACCTCTAGGTCCTGAGTTCTGGGGTTACAGGCATGCACCGCCACATCTGGTTTATGTATTGCTGGAGAAGGAACCCAGGGCCATTCCTAGCTTCCCAAGGCTAGCAGCTGTCATCCAGCTCATCTGAAACCTTCTCTTCCTGAAGACACCTCCGCTGCTCACCTGCTTGGGTCCTTCCAAAGCAGTGACAATGGTCAGACCCTGGCTCCGGTGCTTCTGAACACACAGCCTTTGATTGTTTCTATCCTGAGTCTTCACTAATTTCCACTCTGGAACCTCTCAAATCACTTGGGAAAATTACCCACCCAGTCCACTGAGGTTTGGAACCCCGAGTTTGGCTTGGGCCCAGGATAGGATTGGGAGCTGTCAAAGTGCAGAGTTTCCTTTGGGTGTTTGAGCAATTGCTTTAAGTTTGTCCTTAATGAAACCTGTTCTCCCAGACTGCCGCTGGCTATTCTCCATGCCAAGGTGGACCAAGGTCAGCAAGGCTGCCCTTACCCTTTGCTGACAGGTAGGTCCTCGCCTGTGTTTTAAGATGTATTTACTTAGATTTCAGTATTTGGGGTTGTGTCTCTGTCAGGTGTCATCCCAGTGGAGGAGGGAGTAAGGTGGCAGCATTACCTCACTGTGATGGTTTGGGCATGGGCAGACGTCTGCTGTATTTTGGAAAAGTGAAGAGGGAGTAACATGGTCCCCTGCCCAGGGTTCTCTCCTGGGATATTTTCTAAGCTGCAGACTGCTCTCAGATAGGCCTTTGGTAACCTGATATTTGGGGCAGCTGTTGCTCTGGGACCTAGAGGACCCTACTCTGAGGTGACTGGAAAGACCCAACTTAGGTTGGTGACTGGAGAAGTTAGTAAGGTCCTTTTTTTCCCCAGCCCACTCCATACATGGTCTTAGGTGTGTTTTTTGTATTCACAAATGTTAGATGAAAAAATTATTTTAGCATCTACTGCCTCTATCTCACATATGACCTGAAGTAAAAAACTTACTCTGAACCCGAGACAAATGAACAGTTGCTGAGACTTCTCTTAGCTTCCCAGCTGTGGCCCGCACCTGGAAGATCACCCTGGTCTTTTCATGATTTCTGCTGACCACTCTGGCAGGATGGGACTGCGTCTTGGGGAAACAATGTTGGGGCTCAACAGGACCTACCACCGCAACATGGTGTCAGAGCGAACCCAGACCCTGCATTGTTTATCTGTTGCTGTGATAGAACACCACGAGCAAAAGCACTTCATGAAAGAAAGAACTTACTCGGACTTACTGGCTCCAGAAGCAGAGCCCATCAAGGCCAGGGAGGCGTGGCAGCAGGCACCAAAAGCAGGAAGCTGGCAGATCACATCTTGAGCTGAAAACACACTGGAAGTGGGGTGAGGCTATGAATACTCAAGTTCTGTCCCCAGTAACACACTTCCTCCAGCAAAACTCCATCTGCCAAAGGTTTCACAGCCTCCCTGAACAGCTACACCACCTGGGACCATGTGTTCAAATACAGGGGCCTGTGGGGACACATCTCTGCTAACAACCACCACGGACCACAGCAGGACAGAGAAGCTGTGACTTGCCTGAGGCCAGGTCACTTCTTATACCTTGGAAAGTGACAGATTTGTGATTCCCATGCCCTATCTCCTCCCTCCTGTTTTCCTTCCATTTATAGATTTCCTTCATCATTAAGCCTCCCTTCCCCCCATGCATCATGCTGATTTTGTTGGTACTAGTTTATTCTTTGTTTTCTTTTCTTGTCCTACTGGAGATAAATGACAGAAGCAGTATGTAACTGGGAAGTGGATCCTTATAGTTTGGAGAAGAGAAGGGAGAAAACCTTTGAAGTAAGGATGGGTCAGAGTCCAATGGGTCCAAAAGGGCAGCAGGTTTGTCCTTTCCGAGTCTACTGTGTACTGGATGTACTTGACTTTTGCCCTTTCCCCATTCCCATTTGGCTCAGAGTTGCCTTGGTGATTCATTCTCCCTCTGTCTCTCTGTCTCTGTCTCTGTCTCTCTCTTGTGTGTGTGTGACAGCAATTGAAAGGAAAGACAAAGTGTACTGCTTGAATGTTTCCTTGGTACCTAGTTAAATTGCCCGTTGGTTAAGACCCTGGCTCTTCGGTGTAATCTTACTGGTTCAAGTACATAGTGTCTGTCTGAACATCAGCTGGGAGGAGGCAGCAAGAGGTGTGTCTGCTGCCAGAGAATAAGGTCACTGTGAGTGGAAAAGAGCCCAGTCCTAGTTGTGCTGAGGAAGGGCTGGGAGAAGGTGCTGACCCTCCCAGTGATGAAAGCAGCCAAGGAGGTATGGCCAGGCACTCAGCAGGACCCCCTGTGGATGCCTGGTCAGTGCCTACTGCCATGGCCTAAGGGTGATTATGCCATTTTTTGCTGTCACCTGATCTCCCTGCCCCTGCACCCTATGTACTTGCCAAGCTGTTTTAATGCCCATGGAGGAAGGGGCACCACAAACCTGTTCCTTGGCACTCCAGACATGTGCTGTGGCCCCAGACCATGGCTTCTTCCCTCATCTGCCCTAACTCTTGTGCTTGGGTATTGTGGTTATAAAAAAATCATTTTTTTTCAAACTGAGTGGCGGTAGTGCATACCTTTAATCCCAATACTCCTGAGAGGCAGAGGCAGGTTGTTCTTCATGAGTTCAAGGCCAGTGTGATCTATAGAACAAGTTCTAGGACTGCCAGGGCTACCCAGAGAAACCCTGTCTGGAAAAACCAAATCAATCAATCTCAATCAATCTCAAATCAATCATCAAACTTTTTATCCTTGGTGAGAAATATATGGCCAAGCCATTCTAAGTCTGGGAAGACTGGAAAGTCTCAGACAAAGGGCTCTTAGACACAAGTACGGGCTGCCACTCTATCTACTGTTTGTCTTGCCTGTGCTGTTTCACAAAGAGGTGCTGTGCTGGGAGCTATGATCCTCCAAGGGTCCCTCTTCCTCTGAATTTCTTGGGGAAGTGACAGGGGAGTATTTTCCTGTCCTATTTCTCTTGCTCTGTTCTTGCTGAACCTACACCAGTGCTGTGATTGCCTCTGGGTTACCTGTGGGCACTCAGCCCACCCCATCACTGTACTGCCTCTGGGTTACCTGTGAGCACTGTGTGTACCCAGCTCACCTTAACACTGGCCCCTGGGTTTTGGCTACTGACCCTTGTCTTAACACCATCGTAGCTGGTAGCACTTCTGTGATGCTCTGCAAAGTGCATGTCTCAGATTTGTTCACCCATCCCTCTCTCATAGGATTTCGAGGCTTAAAAAAAATCGATTCACAACTGTTTCTATATTTTCAGGACAAGTGCTGGGAAACAGTGAGTTTATATGTTTTAATTTTCTAAGGTTCTGAACACTATTTAAATTGCTTTATATAATGATCTTGCTTCTAGGGTTGCTCCTAGGCTGCTGACCTGAGACACTGACAGCTGACCCTTCATTAGCTTTATTTGATCCAAAATATGGGATTTAACAGAACCCCAAAGGCAGGTCTGAGGCAGAAATGAAGGCACTAGGGTAAAGAGTCACCACTTACCTGCTGGCATTGGGAGGTCTGAACCGTGGCTCTAGGCACCTTTTTGCTGCTGCCAGCTCTCCAAGAAACAGTCTGCTGCAACTGGGCTTGAGGAGTCCACTTGACCCCAAGTATTTAGCAGAAGGTCCCACTGGGAGTGAGATTCCAGTTTAACCAACATTTCAGGGGCTGCTTCCTTAGCCTCTATGTATTAGGGGATTGTGCATGCTATAGAAGGGTATTGCTGGGTTTTACAATTTTATTAATAGGATGATGTGTCATATTTAAGAGGCCAGCGGTGTCTCCTAGGTGACTTTGTTGCCCAGGTCCCTGCTCTCAGCCTGAAGGCAGCACTGTATCCTTTGTGAGCTCCTGGGCTTAGTAACCAATAACAGCCACGTGATGCTACATGCTCTGCTATGTACAAGAACAAAACACCCCATTAAAATGAATCCGCCACAAGGTTGCAATCACGGAAGCCAATGTGGCACATTTTGTGAAGTAACCACACTGGCCCCTTGAAGCCTCTGTGTCATGGGAGACAAACGGAACTATAGTGGGTGGAGTGTGTACCTGAACCAGAGTGTTATCCCAGATCGAATTCCAGGTAAGGAAGACCTGTGAAAGTCACTACAGTCCACCCAGGCATTCTGGACATGGGCTTATATTCACCACCAGCAGTGCTGTTCCCAGCGAGAGTTACAGAAGGGTGCCAAGCTGCCGGGAGACAGCTGCACTGAAGCGACCTCAGGTGCTCAGGCTGGGTCTCAGCAGGGGCAGGGGTGAGGGACAGGAGCAACAGTAAAGAAAGCAGCATCACCCATCTGGGAAGCCCAGCAAACAGGATGCACGAGGACCCATACCCATCCACACATTCCCCCAAGTTCCAGCCCAACCCCACAGTGCTGTGCCGAAGGCAAGAGACCAGGGGTATGGATTCTGGGAGCTCAGATGGCACTCCAGGCTCCAGTGAAGACTCGGACCCAAGAGAGATCCTTCGTGCTACAAACGTGGCAACACCTTTTTATTCAGAGTAAGATGTGTTCACATCAGCATGACAAAGTTTGTACAAAGTTCACAATTTAAAAATGAAGTATCACAGCAACTTGTGATTCCACACATTTATAGCAAAATTAAAGTGTCAACAAACCCATGCCGTGTAGTACAAAAATAAATCAAACTTCAGTTCCACAGAGAGCACAATAAATAGTTTATACAAAACTCTGTCTTAATAGATGATGACTTAAGTTAACTTAGAAATGAATATGAACAATAAGTTATAATAAATATGCTCTGATGACTCACAATACCCCATGTGGAAGGTCAGCATTCTAACATGTGACACTGTGTGATCCCTATATATAGTCACAGGTAACTTCTGATTTGATATTATGTACCAACGTTACATGAGCAGCAGGTTTGTGCTTAGAACCCCTCTCCATTGTACATAGGTGATAACAATAAGAATCCAAACCGATACTACCTATTACTCTACTAAAAGCATTACTACATTGGCCAGGAAGCTGCAGACAAGACGCGGTGGGGAAATGCATGTGCCGCTATGAACAGAGCCCCCCCCTTCCCCCCGGGTGGGGGCCTGGGACCATGTGTATGGCATCAGGTGACAGTAAGCACCTTGCTTCAGCTCTCAAAAAGGCAATTCTGAGCGTGGCAGCTACAACTAATCACACAACAGAAAGGGGGCGCTGGGCAGAGAAGGTCCTGCAGTGCCCCGAGTAATTACATAATCTTTTCCCCAGCTAGGTATTAAAGTCCTTGTGGAAAACTGTAAGCTTTTGTACAGTGAACAGTATAAAGTGCCGCTGGGATATTCTTATATTTATACATATACATATATATATATACCGAGGTTGAGTATTGTATCAGAATATTTGTTGTGAGATCCCTGTAGTCTCCCTTAGTAACCGTATTGGGTCAGCCTTGAGGGCCTCCTCTCTAACTCATCCACTTCAGTGTCACAAGGCGACTGACACAGGATTGCACACCTCCGTACAGATATATAGGACAAGGCGAGTGCAAAGAGCCGACTGGCACATTGTGGGGACAATGACCCTGTAAGTCCTGTTCTGCTAAAAATATTTTTTTATTTTTACAAAACCCATCTTTTTTTATTTCATAACAAAATTTTAAAGTACTTTTGTACTTCCTGCATAACATCAAGACATGGAAGAGAGAGATGCTACTAAAAGGAAATCAAGTCGACATCGGGGAACACAACACATTGTCAAAGACTACTCAGCAGGGGTGCAGCGATCAAAAGTGGCCGTATGCATACATATAGTGCAGTCATTTGGGATGAGACCATCAAATGTCAAAGGTATCAACAAGTCTAAGATGATCTAGTTTAAAGCAAAAAAAGTGCTGAAGTATATTTAGTAACTTTAAAATCTGATTGCATTCCTTCTCAGGTTAGGTCACCATAAACCAAACAAGGCTGTGCAGACGCTGGAGTCAGCTGGACCCAGCGAGGGCAGAGTGTGAACGTCCTTGGCCTTGGTGTCCAGAGTGTTCTCAATAGGACCAAGGCTTATTCGGAGTCAGAGTTGGGGCAGGTAGGGAGAGGGAAGGGTAGAGCTGCTTTCCCACCCGCCCAGCAGAGAATCCCATCCAGTAACCGGGGCAATCACAGCCGTTAGCCTTCATCCTCAGATGTGAAACAAGAATAACGAGTGATGATGATTTTTGAAAGTGAAAAGGGGAGATAAATGCTGAAATTACCTTTTTTTCCCTCAAATTGAAAAACAATCAACTTCTGCTAGGTAAGCTATATTGTGGTAACAGTTCAGAGGGGCACGGGGCTCTAGGAGAAATAAGAGAAGGCTGCTCCAAAGGGTACTGAAAATGCAAAGGAAATCTTCATGTTGTCCACCTCTGACAAGCTCCTGTGTTAACGGAGTTTCCACAGTCCCACCATGTAATGTCTAGGAGTTAATTAAAAGTGCTGTTTAAGCTGCTTTGAATCTTCTGCCAAGTTTCCATGGCTTGATGTTGTCTTACAATAAATTACTTATTTCATTTCTTATAGTTAATCCATATGCCATTTCCTTGGAATGCAAAAAACCTCATTTATTGCCCCCACCATACACCATCCTCCTAAAACAAACAAACAAAAAAGTCACATAATATTTCCAAGCATTGTTCAAAAATAAAGCATTTTTTGCAACCAATTCTTGCTATGAAACAATATGCACACAAAATGTATTTCTTAAATTCCACAAAGTCCTCCAACCTGAGGCAAAATGATAATGTCTAAAAGTGGCCATGAGGCCACAAAGTGATCATTCAAACCTGCTTTTTTTCCCTTTTTTCTTTTTGTCCATTTCAGTTCAAAATACTAAAACATTTAATCACTAAAGCATTAAAAAGAATTTACACTCTGTTTTGATCAGCTTACCTCTTCAGAAATATAGAGACCCCCAAATGTGCAGACAGCAGCAGCTATAAACATTACATGGCAAATCACACTATGTCAGCTTATATGAAAACGTACAAAATGTGAATGTATCCAAAACTAGTCTGCAGGTACTATCTCGAAAGCACACAAAACCATTATGAAGTCTTGTAGCATAACACTGTTCCGACAGAAATAAATATATAACACTTTCTGGTAAGTTACAGCAGCAAGAAACAAGAGGCATCCTTTTTAAGCATGAGTCAGCACTAGAGCAGCTGTTCAGACCTGAATTCCTCTCACAGCCTGCTTTATATTTTCCAGTAGGGCTTTATTTTCTGGACTCTGATAACGATCTTGATTTGTATACATTTCCGTCAAAGTAGTCACGTAAGCATCAAAATTTTGTTCATTGATTGGATCCTACGAGATATTAAATAGTAGTTCATATACAACTTTTATTTTCTGAATAGTATATTCACAAAAGCATAAAACAGCATCATAGCATAGAGCCACTGTTTCCATAATACTTAACAGGCCTACTCAGAGCACACTTAACGTTATACGATCAGCCCCACCAATGTTTCTAGCAGTTAACGGTATGGTTTCAGGGTGGAGACCAAAAAACAACCAAAAGCTGTAGGACCATGGACAATGAAACAGACATCTACTCAGTGAGGTGGACTGCAGAGGCTCCGAGGTGCTCACCTGGGCTCAGTCACTTACCATGTGAGGCAGCTGGATGTTGGCGAGGCTGTGGATCAGAGACTGGCTCAGGTTGGCCAGCTCGTGCAGGAGCGACTCGTTCTGCTGCTCGATGACTTTGTTCTCCTCCTCAATCGTCTTTAGGTTGCTCTCCATTGTGGTGATCTGAAATCACACATTTCGGTGACATGTAACATAAGACAGGCTGCAGGGAGCCTGCACACCGGCTGTGAGGGACCAGGCTATAGGACAAGGACAGGAGGTTTCTGCTTGAGCACAGAGGCTGCATCTGGGAGACCTGGGCATTTGAACATACGGTGCTGGCCACAGCAACCATGGAGGTGTCCTCACTGCCTGCCTTCACTGATTGTTCTCAAGCCTGAGTGCTCTTACCGGCCCATCTGTCCTTGCTGTCTTGTGGGAGCTGCATGAATCTATAGGACCAATGTTAATTTCCTTTTGTGGTACAACTGCCTGCTCTGATAGGTGGTTAGTAGGTGTATGCCTGTGAAGGCTTGACTGGTCTCTTGGTTTGGTCTCCTTCTTATAAGACAGTGGTTCTCAACCCTCTTAATACCTTTAATACAGTTCATGTTGTGGTGACCCAAACATAAAATTTCCATGCCAACTTCATAACTGTAATTTTGCTCGTGTTATGAACCATAATATAAATATCTGTTTTTCATTGGTCTTAGGTGACCCCTAAAATGGTTGCAACCCACAGGTTGAGAACCACTGTTTTAAGAGGTCTGGGAGAAATGGAGACTTGCTTAGGTCAAGGGTTTGAGGGCTAGCATCAGAGGGGAATCCTCCTCCACCTCACAGGGATAGGAAGCTAAGATGTGCCATGCTCAGGACTTACCATTTGTCCCCTACACTGAGGTCCTCTCTCATGAGTGTCTCTATCCCTCTTTCCCCTACTTTCTCCTTTCTTCACTTTCTTGTCATCCTTTAACTGCACTTGGCTCAAGTTCTAGGGTCTCACCTCTCACCTATAGCCAGGGCCTATGAAATTCCAAGAGACACTCAGCATATCTGAGACAAAGCAGCAGTGTTTCTCCATGGAAGGAACATGTTCCCTTTGCCCTATGGGGTGGTGGGGGAACCCTTGAAGCCATATACATTCCTCCTCTGACACCCTGGTCAACTTTCTGGCTTTTTTTTTTGTCAATTTAATGTTTCCATCTGTGGTGGTTTGAATAAAAATGCCCACCCCCAGTAGGCTCATATATTTGTATGCTTAGTCACCAGGGACTTGGTAGGGATTAGGAGGGGTGGTCTTGTTGGAGTAGGTGTGCCCTTGTTTGAGGAAGTGTGTCACTGGGGATGGGCTTTGAGGTTTAAAAAAAATCCATGCTAGGTCCAGCCCTCTCCACCCGCTCTGTTTGTGGATCGGGATGTAGCTCTCAGCTACTTCTCCAGCACACTGCCTCCCATGTCTGATGCCACGCTCTCCATCATGATGACAAAGGACTAAACCTCTGAAAATATAAAAAGCATCCAATTAAATGCTTTCCTTTCATATATTTGCTGTGGTCATGGTGTCTCTTCATAGCAATACAACAGTTACTGAGACACACACCATCCCAGTGATGTCTCCCAGGCCCAGAAGTAGATCGGTGAGCGTTCACTATTTAGGAAGGAGGCCCTAGGGGCAGTTATCCTTGGGCCCATGGCTGAAGATGTATTCTTCTAGACAGCCTGATTCCTTAGAGCCAATGCTGGCTGGTGGGTTAGCACAGAGGACATCAATTTGTGCAGGGTCCTTTTGGGTGACTGTCCAGGCAGCCAGATATAGTTGTCATTTCCAGAGTCTTGGAAGTTGCTTACTATACATTTTCAGTTTACTTAGGTAATATTATATCTTCTGGGGTCTTTGATGGAGTCAAAGACAGATACTTTTCCTTAATTATGATAAAAGATAAACTAGATATAAAACTTTAAACTGACAAAGATAAGATAGATGATAGAGTATCTTATTTAATTTTGCCAAACACAAATAGACTAAATATTGTAACTGAAATTCTTGCTTGATAACTGTTTTGGTATATATAATTTTACTACATTAAAGTTAATACCTTCCTTTTTAATTAGATGGAAAAGGGAAGATGATGCTGGGATGTCCTTCTGTATGCTGTGAACATGTGTTGCTTTTATTGGTTGATAAATAAAGCTGCTTTGGCCAATGGCCAGGCAGAATATAGCTATGTGGGAAGTCCAAACACAGATAAAGAAGGTAGAGTCAGGGAGCCCCTGTCCAGTTGCTCAGGAACAACATGTCTGCAGACTGGTAAAAGCCAGGACTCACATGGTGATGCGTAGATGAATAAAAATGGGTTAATTTAAGTTATAAGAGCTAACTAGTAAGAAGCCTGAGACATTGGCCAAGCAATTATAATCAATATTAAAACCTTAACTAGCAGGCAGGACGAGAAACCTCCAGTTATACCTGCCACTCCCCCTTTTGTGACTCAAACTTGCCATGTAGCTGAGGACAACCTTGAACTTCTGGTTTTCCTGCTTTCACTTCCTAAGTGCTGATATTACAATCAGATGTAACTATAGCCAGTTAGTGTGATGCTAGGTCTGGGATCCAAGGCTTCCTGTGTTCTAGGCAACCGGGACTAACATATATTTCAAAGAGGTGGCAGGATGGCCAGAGGGAGGGGGTGGGGTGGGGTCAGTAACCCTGGCAGCTCTTTGAATGGATATCGTGGCTTCTCTGTCAGCCAAGCAGTTATGCTTTAACTCTTGGCCACATAGGTTCCCGGGATCCAACCCTTCACATTTGTGCCTAGGGCCTTGCATCCTCCGTGGTCCTCCACCTCAGGAAACCTCTGCAGGGCTCTAGCCCCACTTCTCTCTGTGTTAGATTTCTCTCTGCTGTACAGTGGGTTTACACCCATCAGCCTGACTTCACGGGGATGGTCAGAGCAACCCGAGTGGGTCAAGCCTCAAGCTATGCCTTGATATAGCCACCAGCATTCATAGGGCTATTTCAGATAATTTCCCCCTCTAACCTGCATTTCCCACTCATGGGTTTAAAGGAAGTTGAAGTGTCTTTCCAGCCAAACACACCCCCATCATTTCCAGGAGCACCCCTCCAAAAGAAGATAGACACTTGAGTTGAATTGTTCTCAAAATAAACAAATCTCATGTGTAGATGCCTCTAGGTAATAGAGGAAACTAGGGATACCGTGGGAAGGCCTGGTATAAGTCCCAGTCAGAAAGGGAGCTCAAGCTGCAGCTGTGGCCTGTAAATTTCAGTCTCCATGTGTAGCCCCAGGTGGTTCAGATGCACACCAGCCCATGTGTAGGGTAACCGGGCCATCCAGAGCGGGTGTTTGGATACACAGCAGAATTGTAGATACCCCTAAGTCTTACAACCTGGCCTCCTTCCTCTCAACTGCCTGGCTCTCCACATTCCAACTGGACCTTGAACTCAGTTTCTCCTGTGGACTCAGATTCACATGCCTAAGGTCTATGTAAAGGTCTGTGACCCTGGGAGTCCACTCAGACGACTAACCCTGGCTTCCCTAGTTTTTTTCCTTTATTTTTCTAGTTTCCTTGTTCTTCTGATAAGCAGGAGCCTCTATGTACACTGGCAGCAAGATATCTGTTTTCCCGGGATGCTTAATTCCACGGAAGGTGTCAAAACTATGATACACAGTGGCCCCTCTTAGAGTCAGAGCGCTATGGGGAGTGTATATGGCAGGAATCTCTTTCCCCCACCCCAGGCTCTCCCAAAAGTACTGGTCCTCCACAGTGGTATGTGAAGAGCCTGCACCACCTTCAGACGTGGTGCGAGATGAGGGCTGGGTCAGAATGCGTCTGTTTTGGAACTCAGGGAAGAATGCAGGCTCCTCACTCAGGTAGCATGCATGGATCTGCTCTCTGGGGACTCTTGGGTCCTCTGTGATCATGACATCTTTAAGCCAGCATGGAAGCCTGCAAAGGGCAGTCACACACTACAGAGTTATTCCTCCTGAGAAAGTCTCATGTCTGCCTGCCTGCCGGGCTCTATCTGCCTCTGCGCCCAAGTGTTTTCCAGGATGGCCTCTATCAGAGGGAGTTACTAGAGATCAAACACAATTCAAGGCCCACTCTTGAGAGATGTGCGAGACTCTTTTGCTTCTTTCGGTGGGTGTTGTAAACCCAAGAGAATGACTTCCTTTTGTGATGTATTCAGGTTGCTTAGTTCACGCACAGTGCTGTATAGAGATGTATGGCAGCAGCCAGGAGCCTGGAACAGTCTTATGACAAAGACTGTGGGGTCCAGAAGCCAACACATTTGCTGTGTGGTTCCTGGATGCTAAGAACCAAGGCCAGTGTGTCAAACTCTACAGATGTGTGCAGAAGATGCACAGATGGGGTGAGTCACTTGAGGGAGACTTGAGGAAAGCTCCACAGCAAAGTGGTCCCCTGATGTCTACCACCCTATGAGACTGAAGCGGGATCAAAATAAGAGGTATTTAGGCTTTAGACTGAGACTGAGTTACACAGAGAATTTTAGATCACAGAGAAAACAAACCACAATCTGATGAGTGGCTCAGAAATACAGGAGCTGAAGACCAGCTGCAGGACTGACGCCGGCCAACTTAGCACAAAGCTAGAAAGGACAGAGCCAGATGCCAGGGAGTTTCTCATTAGCAACCTTGTCTGAGATATGATTTCTCTTTCATGTTCTAGCATATCTTTCTCTTCTCCCTCACCAATAAAACTTCTGAGCCCGACTGGGGACCACAGGGGACAGGTTCTTTACAGGCTTCCTATTAACCCTCTTCCTTTTGCTCCTGCATTTTCTGTGCTAGAATGCTCCCTTCCCATCACCCATGGCATCCTCTCTTTCTCCTGGGCTATCTCATAGCCATCTAGAAGTAGCTTACATCCACCTTACTGCCCCCACCTCCAATGCCTTGAGTCTTAGTCTCCTCTTTCTTGTTCTTTACCACGAGTATATTCAATTTCTGTTTTCCTGGTCCAGAGCATGCTCAGATCACTTTTGTAGCTCTCTACTTGATCCCCTGTTAAAATTTATATACATTGGGTGAGAACTGAGTTTGACTGGATGAGATGTGTTGTGCTTGTTGAATTGAGACTGAGGTCTGGAAGTGCTCATCTAGGGGCCCAACACAACTTGAGCCCCATTACCTGTGTTGCATTGAGTACAAATGAATTGGAATGAAGTGTATATGGTCCTTGGTCATTCTGCTGGCCCAGAGAGGTGTCTGGGTGTCTAGGACCTTAGACCCAAGTTTATATAGGGCCAAAGGCCAACTGACTGACTTTTTTGTATAGAGCCACAAAGCACAGAACACAGAGGGCTCCAGAAGCTATCTTGGTTGTACCAACTTGACCATAAACACTGCTCAAGTATATTACCAAATAGTGGGCTCACCTGTTCAGTAAGTAGTTAACTTTGCCCCTCAAATTGAATTCTTACAGTGGATAGTGAACTGAACACACTGGATATTTAACAACAGTGGTCCTAGGTTAGAGATGGCCCTGTGTTTTGGATGGGGCTTGAGCGTCCCTGCACTTCACACGCTGGCATTTAATACTTACTGTGAGGAGTAAAACCTTAATCCAAATACTGACATTAGTGATGGAGCCTGCGTGGGTGATTACTATGAGGAAATCAGGGTGGACCCATAGTTGGCCCATAGGAGCCTGGTACATTTTTAGGAGGCGCGCACACATACCCTCTTTGTCTCTCACCATGTGATAAGCCATACCATTTGGGGACTCTAGCAGAAAGAATACTATCACCAGATGTGGCCCCTGACCTTGGGTCTCCAGAACCATGAGGGAAAACTGGGCTGCTTTCTTCACACCTTGAACTGCTATAGCACTGCATACATCAGCAACAGAAATGGGCTAATGTGGGTGGCAGGTGGCAGGGGAACTTTTCTACCACTGGTCAAGGATTTGAGACCCCGAAATACACAGATGGAACATCATTTTTCTTTCAAGGCTTTACCCTGTAGTCCTTTGCCAAAGTTAAGTCTGGGTTCTTCCTGAGCAGGACTCCAGTCACCTAAGTAGAACCACAATCCTGGGCACTGGTTGTGATTTTCTCTATTGCTGGTTCCAGTGTGACCCTGACAGAAGTTATTGCAGCCTTAATCTGCTTCTGGTTTACCTCTGTGTTAATGCATAGCCTAAGAGCATGACACAGCCTTGGGAGAAAAGTGCTTCACCTAGGACCTGAGTGGGCATGAGTGACATGTGTGTCCATGGTGACAACTGCCACAGTGAGTGCCACAGTGATTGTCAAGGGCCGGGAAGACTCCTCTGTTAGTAGACACTCATCTAAGTGCCCCAAGATGCTCTCCCCTCACCTTCCCGGTTGGCCATGAAACTCTGGGAACTTGTGTATAAATGCAAGTCAGCCCACATGCTAAAGACATGGGTATAGGCAATGTTTCTCAGAAATCTTAGGAGCTCCCACAATCACTGCTGATGATGTAAAATGATCAAGTAACACCTAAAAGACCTTGAGAGAAAACCCACATCTTCCATGGAGCAGGTGATACTCTGGGAATGGTTATTCACAAATGGGTCTGGCTGAACACAAAAGCACACATAGGTAGGTGAACAGCATACGGCCTCCGTGTTACCAAAAAAATATTGCCGGGGCTGGAGAGAGAGGTCCTGAGTTCAATTCCCAGCAACTACATGGTGGCTCACAACCATCTGTAATGAGATCTGGTACCCTCTTCTGGCCCACATATGTACTGTATGCAGAATAAATAAATCTTTAAAAAAATATTGTCATGCAATGATTCTACAGAAGGCAAAGTTGCCCACTGAGGGAAAATCAAGAAGAGATGGGGAAACAAAGAAACCTCACCTCCCCCAGGAGGTGCTTTCCCTCCCTCTCTAAGCAACAGTACAAATTACCACCAGAACAGAGGCTTTCTGTCAAAACTGGCATTGAGGCTCCATGCTAGACCTAGAGGTGAGGCTGAATTGCTGATACAGAACTGAGGCGTCATCACAGGACCAGAACTCCGGTTTGACACTGGTACAAGGATTGCTGAATTGCTGATACAGAACTGAGGTGTCATCACAGGACCAGAACTCGGGTTTGACACTGGAACAAGGATTTCTGAATTGCTGATACAGAACTGAGGTGTCATCACAGGACCAGAACTCGGGTTTGACACTGATACAAGGATTGCAACTCTGTGAGAATTAGAATTAAGTTTCATGTTACAGCTAAAACTGGAACCAGGGATGCTGGCATATGCCTGTAAGCCCAGTGCTCTGAACGCTGATGCAGGAAGATTGCAGGAGTTCTAGGCCAGCTTAGGTACATAGCAACACAGAGGAACAAGAAGCAGGGTTCCACGCCAGAGCTAGAATTGCGGCTTCACAAACTGTTACCTGAGTTCTGAGTTTGATCATGTCAGCCTCCATTTGGGAATTGGATTCGTTAAGCTCCTTTATCTCTTCATCTAACTGCTTGATTTCTTCATCATTTTCTATACCTGGAATGGCAAAATCATCACATTAAGGCTATCGTGCCTGAAAACACTTTGTTTTCTCTATTCTTTTTCCATTTGGAACTGAATTTTCTTGGGAAATGTATCATTGAATTCATAAAGAACCACAGTGTGTATGTCTTTATTTCCTCACCTAGCCTGCCTTACGCCCATGGCACTTGGAGAAAGTAAAGACCTTCTAGAAAGAACCTAGGTCCTGATAGGTAAGATTCCAGCAGAATACCCAAAGTCTCAGGGTCTGGGGCCCTCTGGCTCTCGGCAGAAGTTGCTTTGCTGACCCTTTATTCTCCTAGCTATACTCTTCATCACTTTTGCACTTAGCATCCTACCACACTCATTTTTGATTCAGCCATCCTGGGCACACCAGGCTTCCATAATGAGCCCCAAAAGAATCTGACCCCAGACTTTTTCAGAAGTTGGGAAGGGTGTGAACCTGACTATCTTGGCCTGAGCAGTCTGGGCCAGCAAATGCCAATGTGCAAGAGTCTAGGTGTCTCCTTAGGCCAGTCCTGCAAACCCAGGTGTATTTTCAACATCTGGTCTGTTTTGGTCTGTTGCTGACAACTTTGTATCGTCAGTATCAATATGACAGGGTCTATGTGGTTTTACATAGTTGAGGACACACAAAGCACATAAGAATGACAGATGTCATTATCTTCGAACATGACAATCCTGGGCTTGTGGGTATCACTGGTTACCTGCCCCTCCTGCAGACCAGTGGGCAAGTATACAGTAGGCCAGGCCTTGCAGAATCTGTTTTTTTATGCTTTGCAAATTGAAGGGCCCAAAATGGTGGCCAGAGATACTCCAAAGCACCGTGAAGCCTAGCTGAAGGGAGGTAGTATTTGTCCAAGAGTTCTAGCAAAGAAAAGAAAGAGACGGGCCTGTGGTGGTTGAGTCTTGAGGGTTGCTTTTAGTGGGTAAAAAGCAATACAAACAAAACAAAAATATTTTACCATGAGACAGAGGGTTAAAAACAAAACCAAACAAACCAAGAAACAGGGCTGCTGACAGAGGGATGGAAGTTTAAATCTGAGAGCTGGACGCCCGTGCCGACTGGATAGGGCTGTCTAGTGTGAGCTGTCCCTCCCCTAGGACATGCATGCTATCCCTCGAGCTTCTTCCTTCTCATCTCCTCTGAAATGATGCTTGTCCAATGCTACTTCCTTTACTGATGAGTGTCAGTGGGTATAGACTTAAAGCGCAACCCCCTAAGAGTGTTGGCTTTAGCACCAGGGCTAGTTTGTAAGATGTAGTGTCTTGTCAGTGCCTGCTGCCTAGCTGGAGTTCAGTGCCCATCTTCTTTCTGGCAAGGAATTCGGTTTCTTAGTGAGCGAGAGAGTTGTGGATATTGTCTGCAAGTGTCTCAGTGCAAGCTCTTTGTGCTGATGGTTTGGGGCTCCAAGGGGAGAGCATGCAGATGGGTCCCAGGCCTTCTGGAAAGTGGAGCTCTAGTTGACCTCCATTTCGTTGGCCTTTGTGTTGGGCAGAAGGGACACTGACTCACAGCACCTCAAGTCCCTAAGTTTGCACCACATATGTGGGTATATCTCTGGAGAATGATAAGCTACATGTTAGTATTTACACCTGTCACTGGCAGAGAAAAGGTTTCTGAAGGCAGATGCACTGCACTACCTTTAGGACACAAATAATACGAAGCAGCAGACAGAAAGGGCAAGACTTGAGCCCAGGTACCTGCACACCGCAATTGGCCTTCATCTGGGTTAGAGGAGACAGCCATCCACCAGAGGCATAACGTACGATCTAGGGTCTGAACTGGGATGTTACTGTGGATCCACCAGTCTGAAGTGAGGATGTCTCAGCCCTGGCTACTATATTCGTAGTGCATCCAGGATGTGTCATACAAAGGGGCCAGGGATTCTACCTTTCTGGCTTCAGAGTAACTGTTTCTGAGTGCTGATACCACAGGTGGAACTTCTTGGTGAGGACGCTCCCACCACTTTGCAAATATTACTCACAGGTTCTGCTTAGTGGCTATTGGACCCAGCCTGCCTGGGTGAGGGCTGAGCCCTGGGTCTCTTACTGGAACCAGCTCAGGTGATGAGAGAGGGCTGAACCCTGGGTCTCACTCAGGGAGACTTAGGGGGTACTGCCAGTTTCTGATACCCTAGTTCTGGTCAGCTCCTCAATAGCTGACATGTTCTGTGTGTTTCCTCTGAATTTTTATCTGCCTACTGTTTCTGTGTGGTGGTGTGTGTGTATAAGGTGTGTGGAGGCCCAAATTCTGTTTTGGATGTATTTACTTGGTTGTTAATCTCTCTGTTTTAAAGACATAACCAATAGCTGAGCTATAAACTCACTGACTAGGTTATATTGACTTCAGGGGTTTGTCTGTCTCTTTCCCTCACAGCTTTAGGGTTAGAGGAACATGCTGTCACCACTGGCTTTTCTCGTGGGTCTTGGGAAGCCAAATACAGGTCCTCATGCTTGAACAACAGGGAATTTACCTACTGAGCTTTCTACTCAGCCCTCTTCTGTGTGTTTTGAATAAAGCCTCTTAGTCTATGGGCCGAAACCAATCCCACATCCTGAAGCTCCTTAACGTTCCCTGAAGGACACAACCCCATACAATCATTTCTTCTGCAAGGGACACCATGGCTTCTTGCTCTCAGAGACACTAGTCAGTGTGCCATCTCTATGTCTGGAAACGTGTTCCCACAAGAAATTCACCAACAGATATACAAACAAAGAAAACATGTAGCTGTATCATGAGAAGAAACTCATTTACAGCTTGAGACCTGAGACAACAGGGCAGAGCTGTCCTCCATCTTGGCTGGGACGGACAGTGGCACTTAGCTGCTGTTTCTCTTCATGCTTAGCTATAGATAACTTCAGAAGTGCCACGGCATTGACTGTGAGCTTGCAAATGAATTTTTGCTAGTGGCTGAACTATGTCTATGGGATCCAAATCTGAGGATAGACTGTGGGGTGTATCTAGGATTTGTGGACTAGTGTGGCTTAACTGTTATTTACGAAATCCTCCCAAGGTCTCTGATTTTCCTTGGTAAACTTTGTATACACAGGCAAACTTGTTACCAGCAACAGGGTTTCTTGAAGGGGGTGAACGTTGCAGGTGAGTTCAAGACGATCAGTTATTGAATGTGCCGAGAAAGAGGAGAGGGCAGAAAGGGGGCTGCTACTTTTTTTGTGTCCTTGGTGCCCCAATGCAGCTCCTGGGCTACAGGCTTCGGAATGGGGGCCCAAGGGAAAAGGAAGGAAAGGTGTGCCCGGGTTGTTGGAGAGAAAGCTGGCCCAGCCCTGGAGATCCTGGGATATGGGATGTAGGTAGAGTCTAGTGATCTCTGCTTCTGTGGCCTGGGACAGCAGTGACATCCCACCTCTCTAAACAGCAGGGATGCCGGGGCCCCCAGGGTGTGGTTACCATTGCTGGCTCGCTGCTTAATAGTCAACATCTGTTCTCCAGACAGCTTTGCTTTCTTCATTGCTGATGTGGCTCTTGGACATCCTGACAAGCTGTTGATAAGACAAGAGATGGCTGTTAGCCATAGGTTTCAGCAGAGCCCAAGCCGTGCAGTGATAAGGTTTGGTAACTCAGGGTTTCTTTATCAGTTCAAACGCCATCACGGGGATGCTGAGAAATACAGATCAATGGTGCCGTGTTCCAGCACATACATACAAGGGTAACATAGTCTATATACACATGAGCATGGTTAGTGTGGCCTCTGGAGTGGGATCTTCAGAAAAGATGTATGAGACGAGCAGACACATCACCTCCTAGTATAACCCACAGCTGTTGCAGCTTCTATGGGGCAGATTATATCCCTTTAAAACTTGCTTCTTAGGAACAGCATCAAACTTATACAACAGCCATGTTCAACCCAATTTCAAGCACATAAACACAAAGCAATGTAAGAATGTTTCACCCAGCTTTGGTAACCGTGACCCATAGCAAGCCCCCTTCACTTCATCCACCCACAAACTGCTTGGGATGAAAGCAGGTATAAAGTCGACTGCAATATTGTCACAAGTTTTCCAAAACCAGACTTGCTATTCAGCCAGCGGGGCAGCCTGGTTTTCAGGCAACCCCTGCTATAGTGGTTCTTTTGCATCGTCACTACTACTAGATTTGGATTGCTTAGGAGTCACACCTCTGGCTGTGAAACACCTTCAAAGAGAGGTTTAACTGAGGAGGGAAGAGCCATCCCAGGTGTTGGCAATAGCATTCCATGTACCAGGATTCTAGACTAAGTAGGAAGGATACTAAAAGAAGGAAACGAGCTGGATGCATTCCCTTTTCTCTGTACCCTAATGTGCTCAGATGGGAGCAGTTTCTCACCTCCACAGCCCTGAGCAGCTGCTGCCACCATGCCTTCCCTGCCATAGCGGATGGCCTCCTCGGCACCATGAGCCAACGTAAATCCTTCCTCCCACCAGTTGCTTCCGGTCACAGTAACAAACGCGTGGCTCTCTGGCGATTCTTTAATTGCCAGGCCAAGGCCAATTCCACCCTAGCTCTCCATTGCACCTCCGATGACATGTCTGATGGGACCTTTGCATCAGAGCTCTTCTGGCTGAGTGTCTGCTGGAGCCAGCGTGCCCTTGATAAAGAGGCCCCCACACCCACCCATGGATGGAGTATGTGGGCTTCCTCAAGCCCATCAAAGCACAGGCTCTTCCTCTGGCAGTGCAACAGGGAAAGGGGGACCCCCATCAGGCAGTCGCAGGCTATCAGAGCCCCCGTATTCTGCATCCTATATAAACCTCAGTGTAGTTCTGAAGCCTGACTGCGGTAGGGCACTGAAACTGAAGTTTATCAGTGTCTTGATAAATCACCTCTGAGCATGGGCTTGCTTCAGGCTTGTATTATAAAGCAAGGAGAGCAATGGAGGACCCGTGAAATCCCCCTAAAGCAAACCCTTCCCAGGGTGGCGTGGGCATGGTGGCATATTCCTATGATCCTAGCATTTGGGAGATGGATGCAGAGAGATTAGGAATTCATTAACAGTCTCAGTTACAAGAAGAGTTCAAGGCCAGCCAGGGCTAGAAAACAAAACAAAGTACACTTCTCCCTCCCAGAAAGGGAGCTCAGACTAAGTCCACGGCTCAGAGTTCTCCCTCTAAGGTGCCTGTCTGCAGGCACCAGGAGACATGAAGGCAGGAGACTGTTTTTGGCATGTTCTGCTCCAGAAAAGCCAGCCTCACACAACCGCTGCTGCTGCTGGTTCACAGGGAACAGACACACACAGTATGATTCCCTTGGCCCCCTTGTGTGCTCTGATAACTGCAACACAGGACGATATGTACAAGCAAGTGTACCGCTGTGTAATGTGCAACCATGAGAAGATGCTGGACGAGGCTACTGTCATGGGACACTACAACTGCTTTGCGGTCAGATTTCTCTGTACAACTCAAAGGACCTCACTAAGAAATAACAGACGTCTCCCACAGCCAGCCTCCCAGCGGCTGGTTGCTCGCAGTACATTATCAGCGTGATTTCTGTGCATAATCATAAGTGTGGAGCTCAGATAGGACCAGCTTTGCTGGGGTGGGGCACTGTTTACAGCTTTGCTTGCAACACACATGTAATGTCTGGGGTGCCACTGTGACAGGTGTGACGTCCCGGGGACGAGAGGCCTCAGCCAGAGTGTGATCTGTAGGATCTCTGTCAGCTGTGGGCACGGATGCGTCAAGGGCAAGTGTTGTATAGATCTGTGTTGGCTCACTTGTGAAAGGAGAATAAGGTCAGATTAGGATTGGGCATGATGTTTAAAGACTTCAGTAACTTCTGTGCACTGCTGCATGAGCCTGTGCCAGTTTCCAAAATGAAAGCTTCAAAGAAGGGTCTACCTGACCCATTTCCAGTTCCTGGGCAGGTTGGGCATCAGGAGCCAGGAAAGCTTCCTGCAAATATTCCCAGGACTGGGGTTATGGACAAGGACAGCAGTTTGCTCCAGCCTCACCTGGCCCAGCCCCACAGAACATGAATCTTCAAAATTACAACAGTTACTATCTTCTCCCAGCTATGCCTCCAGTCATTCTTGCAGATTTCCAGAGGCCAGGAACTTGGACAGAGAGCTTCAGAGTGTGACGTGCTAGGTTCCAGAGGCCTGCCTCCTTTCCTTACTATGCAACCCGGCTGCTGCCTCAGGGTGCAACCTAAGCCACATGTCATTCTTCACTGTCACCATCCCTGGGGCCCATGGACGTCCCTCAGTGGAACTGCAGGGCTGAATCCAACAGACCACATGCATCCTGTGAAATGGTCTTGGGATCTCAGCTCATTTCTTCAGATCCCTAAGACCAGTGTTTCTTAAGTGTCCACATCGTCAGCTTCAGTTCGGCACACTGGTGACTCCTCTCTGCACGTCTACATAAACCCATGCAGGCCTCTGGTCTCGTTTTCCTCCCCCAGCACTGTGTACTGACTACCCAACCTTTTAAATCTAATTGTTTATTGAATAGGACCACGTGCTTCAGGAAGCCTCTGGCACAGTCTCTACCCAGGTCAATTTGCCCCTCCCAACTCAGGGACACCTGCAGCCCTCAGGGATCATATTCTCAGACATCATACCCGTGCACCTCAGGCTGTTCCTAGACCAAGAGCACTTCACACCAGGGACTTCAGGACGCTTTTGTGGACTTCAGGAAAATTGCACGTAGTCAATGATGGGGAACATAATGACACCAGACAACATTTCTCCCTCAAGATGCAGCTTTTGTGGGGCACGATCTGGGTTCCACTTATTAGAATGTCTCTAGTTTCTTCTCTTTTCTCTACAATGAGGATTACAGAACCCTTTCCAGTGAGTTCCCAGGGCCGACCTGCATTGCTTTACAACAACAGACATTAAGTGCTGCCCAGTGGCTCTGCTCTACCAGCAGCTAGCTCAAGGTCTCCTTCAGAAGAGCTTCAGACTTAACTCAAGGCAGCTCTCCTGTCTTTGTTGTCTTCAGGAGAAAGCCAGAGGGCTTCTGGGCCACTCTGCTTATTTACTGCCCGGAGTCCCCAAGTCTTCCTTTTTACATTTGTAAGAGGAAATACAAGACAAACAAACAAAATGACACCTCACATCGAACTGAACAGAATGTCTAGAAATAGCAGTCTTACGCTGCTTCTCTGTCTTCAGTGAATATATCTACCTGAGGGGAATGGTGCATAACAGTGTTTCATAAGGAGGATGAGGCCTGGGTGGGAGCTTCGGAAACTGAATCAGGAGACAAAGGCAGACCCAAGGAATGCTGCATCCTGCTCACATATCTCTTTCAGTTCCTGCCATTCCAATCCCTGAGCATATTTCCCCACAGTCAAATTTGGAAATGAGCCCTGAGCTTCTTGGCTCAGACCTCCGGGAAGTGTCTGATTCCTTGCAGACATACTGCCATCTGCTGGTCACTGATGCTGTCTCCTCTGCATGGCAGTGGGTCAGGCTGACCCTAGGATAAGGCGGATGCTGAGCTTAGATTTGCAGCTTCAACACTGAGAAATTCTGGGCAACTCACAGTTAATGCCCATTTCCCCCATTTCCTGTCTGGGGTCCCACACATTTGGCGCCAGGAATCATTTCAGGACCCGACAAGAGTTTTAGTGACTGCATAAGGAGAAGAAAAGGATCCCAGTATTTATCAGGACATTAGTTTCTTGGAGAACCTTCACCTGTGCCAAGGTAGGTAAACTTCCAAGGGGGTGTATGATCAAAGCGGGAAGGACATGATCATAAGGAACAAAAATGTGATCTGAAAAAGAGCTTAGTCTGTGTGACTCAGACACAGGCTGTCTGACCATGTGAACTCTGCTCACTTTGTAGACAGGAGGTTAACAACAGACAGCAGATTGTTAGCAACCAGGTGTCCCGAGGGGCCCAAAGAAAGGTGTGTTGGAGCCAGGCTCTCAGTCACAGCCCTAGGCAGTTTGTTCACTGTTGTGACCTCTGATTCCTTGCTGAGTTGCCTTTCATATTCTTGAGATGTTTCCCATGGCATGCAATATGCATCATGCATGGTGTACACACGTGGTCACCATGTGCGTCTTCTCCACGCCACCCTCCGTTTGTATCAACGACGAGCTGAGAGAGGCACTGGGAGGAAGGGACAAGAAGATGGTGACTGCTACAGAGCTCCTGCCTCTCTTGGTCTCTACTGGAGGGAAGCCCTGCGACCCCTCTGAAATCTACACTCTGAAATATTTTAGCTTTCACTTCTGTGCCAAGCAGCAATCTCCAGAGCTATTGGGAGAGAGAAGTTTCAGGGACTTCTGTGCCAGGCAGAGAGCCGGGATACATGGGGCCCCTGATGACTGTATGTGGCACCAACGAAGCTCAGAGACCCAGAGGGCTGGTTGGTGCTATGTTTCCCCAGGGTCTTGCATTGAGAGGGCTGGTTGGTGCTGTTTCCCCGGGTCTTGCATTGAGAGGGCTGGTTGGTGCTGTTTCCCCGGGTCTTGCATTGAGAGGGCTGGTTGGTGCTGTTTCCCCGGGTCTTGCATTGTGACTGTACTGAGGGAGACCTGGGCTTCT